ACCCAAAAATGAAAGGCTGAATAATAGGGTCAGTGAGAGCGCTGGTACCAGGAGGCCCATTTGCACAAGCGTGTCTGGGTGTTAGCCTGGCTAATTGAAGGAGCACACACCTGAGGCTGCCCCCTTGTAGGGGATGAGGTTCAGCACAGAATCAGGAGGAGGAGGAGTGGTATAGTCAGCCATTTCCTGGACTTTTTCTAGGACCTTGCATATAGCGTAGTGCCTGAGGCACTTGACTGCTAACCAGAAGGCTGGCGGTTCAAACCCACCAGCCAATCCTCGGAAGGAAGATGGGCCAATCTACTTCTGTAGTGATACTGCCTCGGAAACCCAAGGAGGGGTCGCTATGAGTTGGGTCCGACTTGACGGCACATAACAACAACAGCATATAGGTTAGACTTTTTGGATCCAAGTTTTGTGACACTATAAAACTTGATTCTTCAATATTCTGTATTGATCTTTGCTGTTTCCTGTCCTATTAGTCCTGGCTCAGTCTTACAGCTTGTAATAGAATGTCCTCATTTGAGAGTCTATGAATGCCAAACACTTCAAGTACGCTACATGTATAATGTTTATTTGACAAATATTTTTCCTATTTTTAAGGACCAGTAACCCAACTCTTAAAACACACCATTTATTCATAAAGTAGTAAACGGTGGAATTTGGGTCAAAATTCACATTTTTTTAAGGTAATTAAGAATGTTGCAAAAGACATTGCTTGAGGCCTTCTTTGCTGAAGCTTTCCTCGTACCAGGGTTATTATGACATGTCGTTTTCTCCAGCACTTCTCCCACACTTGTAAGGCTGCTGTGTGTGAAACTGCTAGTTTTGCTGGGCTAATCTTCCTTCCCATCACTAAAACTGGTATGGTTTGTAAACGTCACGAGGCCCAGTGCCAAGGAAGACTGAGTTACCAAGGTCATCCTTTCTGGTTCATGATTTCTTCTACTTAGCTGTGAGATCTAGATTTATAATTGGGCTATTCTGAAGGTTTGTATTCTAGACAGAAGTATTTTTTGGTATTGTTTTAGTACCCTATGCCAACCTTGTCTGGCTCTGGCCTGGTCTTTGCTTTCATGCTACTCTTTGTTCTCTGCACCTCGCTGATGCTTCTTGTCATTGTATGTTGTCAAGTCAATTACTACTCATAGTGACCCTGTAGGATAAAGTAGAACTGCCCCATGAGGTTTCCTAGGCTATAATGAGAGAAGATCGCCAGGTCTTAACTCCTGCAGAGTCACTTGTGGGTTTGAAACATTGACCTTTTGGTTGGCAGCCAAGCAGTTAACCATCGTGCCATCAGGGCTCCACTGTTGATTTTTAGGGACCCATATTTTAACCCTTTGGTTTTAGTGCAAGTAACTGCATAACATGGAGATTTTAGGAAAGTAATGGCAGCTAGATTTCCTATTTACTTCTTGTACCATTCATACATTGTGCCCAGAGAGCTGGCTTTAGATCTGAAGTTACATGATCCTCTTCCATTTTAAAGGAGCTTCCTTCTCTCTTACCTTGAGGAAATAAGTCTCTTGCTCCTCCATTACTGGATTTCAGTGACTACATGTTTTGTGGAAGACAAACAGGAAATTGGATAATGGTTTGAAGGTCATCCCCTTACCTCACTTTCTTCAGGCTAGCTCAAGGAGTGGAATAAAGCTAGCTCAGCGTTGTGGGAAATTGTTGAAGGATATGATTTCTGCATAGTATGTGAAGGATAGAAACCCTGGCCTGTTACGTACTAGAGTAGAAGGTGTTTTACTTAGTGAAACAAGCAGGGCCTTCTGTGGAGATACCCTGTACCTCTGTAGTTGAGGCTATCCAGTTTGGCAGTGTGGAAGGATACAGGATAGACACCCTCTGCCTGAGAAGGTGGACAGGTTGCTGCCAGGGCCTTCTGTGAAGATACCCTGTACCTCTGTAGTTGAGGCTGTCCAGTTTGGCTGTGTGGAAGGATACAGAATAGGCACTCTCTTGCCTGAGAAGGTAGACAGGTTGCTGCCTTCAGATCTCTAAATGTCTGTCAGAGGAAGCAGCAATTTAATGTTAATGCTTTAAGAAATACAAGGTTTCAAATAGGACTGACATGGGACCCAGACCTAGCTTTGCCTTTTTTCTTTTCTTTTTAGTTTAAAAGCTTGTTTGTTTTGTGGGTGCAGGGAATTAGAACAAATCTTTTTTTTTTTCCCCTCTCTAGAAAGAAGGATCTGAAGCATACCTAAAAGTGTGGAAAACATTATAAATACCCATTTGCTACCTTGTAATACTTGACAGGTGTATTTTTAGAACAAAGCATACAATTTAAGTTCTGTTATTTAATTTTTTAAAATTTCAGATGTACTTCATGAATAAATTAGGTAGAAGACTATATTTGGGTTCTGGTGAGGATTAAATTATGTTTGTTAAAGTAGTTAGCCTTGGATTGAAAAGGCTGATTGATCTCAGATTGCAGGTTAGGCTTCTTGGGTTGCGATCTGGCTTTGAGGTGATCATTTGTCTGGGAAGGAGGGTGGTGTCCACCACGGGGCAAGTTACTGATTAGTGGCATTTTTCTCTTGCAGTGTGCCCAGCTGGCTGGAAACCCGGCAGTGATACCATTAAGCCTGATGTCCAGAAGAGCAAAGAGTATTTCTCTAAGCAGAAGTGAACACTGGGCCATTTCAGTGCCAGGCTATAGTGAGCAGCCTTGAGAACAAAAACCTCTTTTGTACTTTCTTCGTGCTTAAAACACAAGGCCTTACATTGGGCTGAGACATGGTATTTGATGGGACAGACCTTTGCTATGGGGGTGGGGAGGCCAGCCTTTCTTCACCCTGGCCTGAGCTGTGCCTGTGGGATATGCCAGTTGATGTGTATCATGTACTAGTAGTGGGGAATAGGCCCATTGATCTTTTGTAGTTTCTATTAAACTTGTATGAAGACCTTGATGACTCTTTATTTTAAGGGATTTAGTTACCTTTGACTTTAAGGAAAATAGAATTTTTGCTTTTCTTCTTCAAGGGGAAAATGAGGAGTGAGAGCTGCCTCAGAATCAGGAAATTTTGTTGAGGGGAAATGCAGGTAGACACAGGGAATGTAATTAAGCCATGGTGTTACATATATTTTATATTGATAAAGGCTGAGTTGCAGCTAAGACCCCAATGAGATTATTTGGGCACCTATATTTACACCGGGAGCTCTGGTAGCATAGTGGCTAAGACACTTGCCTGCTAACCAGACGGCTGGCGGTTCAAACCCACCAGCCACTCCTCGGAAGGAAGGTTGGGCAATCCTACTTCCGTAGTGATACTGCCTCGGAAACCCAAGGAGGGGTCGCTATGAGTTGGGGCCGACTCGACGGCACATGACAACAACAACAACATATTTACACCATTGGGAGGGCCTCTTCTGGTAAATGCCTAGTGCTGTGTAAAAGAACAGAGGCACAGGCTTCTGTACCTTTGGAACTGAAAAGGAGGGGGAGAAAAACACAGGGGTCATGGCCTTGCAGGAGGGAGTAGGGCTCTCAGTGGAATAGTCCTGAGCACTTCTCACCTTGGCTTCTATACTTGGAGAAAAATAATAGCTGGCATCAGTGCTCTCTGACTCTTGGTTATGTTAACATACAACAGAATGAATCATTTTGGCCTGCACCCTGTGTTTTGGTCCATCATAGTGGTGACTGTGTGCCCATCTCTCTTGCCTTTGTTGGCCCTCCACTTCTAGTGATTGAGCCTTCCTGACAGTATGTCCAAAGCAAACAAGTCACAAAATGCTCTGTTGTGATCTGGGTTTTCATAGGCTAATTTTCAACAGAAGCCAAGCCTGTATGATTAGAGGGTAGTTGGTACTTTTTTTTTTTTTTTTATTGTGATTTGGGTGAAAATTTACAGAGCAAATTCACTTTCCATATAGCAGTCCACATACACTTTGTCTCATGACACCGACTACAATTTACCCTAATGCAACAGCTCCCCTCCCACTTCTTCCCCATTGTTACCTCTTCCCTGTGTCCATCCCTCTATGCACTCCTGCCCCTGAGCTGTCTCCCTGTGCACAAACAGCCCTTCTTTCTCCCATGATGGATCTCTCCAAGGAATGTATCCACCTCAGGTAAATGTTCAACTCATACGCCTATCTTTTGTTTGGCTGGAAGCCACAAGTGTGGGTTCAATTCCAGACCTGAAGGGCAGCTAGGGGCCATAGTCTCTGGTTCCAGCAGGCTCTATCAGACCAGCAAACCTGGGCCCCCGTGTTTTTTTTTTCTCCAAATGATTTTGAGTTTTGTTCTACATTGTTCTCCCTCTCTGTCCAGGATCTCTTACATAGATCCCCCTCCAAGTGGTTGATAGTGGTAGCTGGGCATCATCTAGTTCTTAAGGTTGCAGAGTTGTATAGGCTGTGGATTGCATGGTGTACAGTTGGTCCTTTTTTTTGACCCTCATCCATGTCATTGCCCTGCAGGGGTTAGCCAGGAGAAGTTGGGTTTCTCGAACCTTGAGGCTCTGTGGCAGATAAAGAACTGAGGATCCTTCAGTGTGTCTATAATGTAGTTTTCCAGACATTCCATCAGGTACTTCAACCTGCCCAGCCCCTCCAGAATCCAGACTAGAGGTAAACGCAGTATAGGATTCTGAGCCTTCAGTAACAGCCAAAACACCATTTTATATGCCAGACACTAAAGAAGTGCTTTATGTACATGTATTCCAGTCTTCATAACAGCCCTATGAGGTGGGTATTATTTAAGGGATGTTTGCTGTTCAGACCCTGCAACAAGTAGAATCTTGGGGCACTGCAGAAAAGTGGTAAAGAAGGCAATAAATAGTCCTATATTCCAAGATGGGAATTTTAGATAAACCTTGGTCTTCTGACTTCCTGTCTTGACCAAACCTTAACTTCCCTGAGACTTACTTTCTATATTATAAAAAATAGTCGTCTTGACCCTAAATAAAACCTCTTGGCCAAAGCCAAGTCCTAGCAAGTACTAGTGTCATAAGTAGGGGTGCCACAGAGGAGGAAAGGTATCAGGGGCCAGGAGATGCAGTTGGTGAGACTCTGGGACTAAGCCATCCTCGTACTCTGCTGGGATTCTGGGGCTTGGGGATGACTGTAGTAAGGGGAAGACGTTCAGGAGATACTGGGCTAAGCTGCTCTGAGGGCATGGCCAAGTCCAACAGGGCCCAGCGCAGGGGTGGCGCAGTAGAAAAGTAAGCCTTCTGCTCTTCTGAGTAGCGTTCCTGGGGTGTCACAGCATCCCGGTAGGTCCAGTCACGCCAATGGAAATTGAAGCCTTCAAGCAGAGTGATGCGGTCAGCTCTTGTAGGAACACAGTCAATAGGCTTTGTGGGTTGCAGGTCCGGCACCTCTATCCCTGGCAGCAGTACCACTCCTCGAATGGCAAACCAGCCCCCGAATCGGGGATGTATACACACACCTGATATGTGCTGGGGAGACAGTAAAGAAAAGCAAGGTCATTGGGGTCACCTTGGCACCAGGTCCACTTACCTTATTCCAAGCTAGGCTTATTATCACTCAAAGGGCACTGATTCCACATAAAAGCCTGTCCTGTCTGTGCCTGGATTCCCTCCATCTCCTGGACAACCCTTTTCATAAGCTCATTTTGACCAAGAGGAAGGGCTCCTTAGGCTAAGCCTCAACTTGCCAATCAGTTACGCCAGTGGTCTGCCCCCTCCATCTTGGAATAGCTCTGTAAGACAGGGTTTTTTTAAGAACAGACTAGAGTCTCTGACCTGACATATCCCTGGGTAGACTCCAGAAAGTAGGCTGTGGGGCTGAACTCTGGACAGGGCACAGCTGCTTTGTCCTGGACTGGGTCAACCAACTGCTCCATCCAGAATGGTGGTGATGTGGGAGGGGCTGTCACCATTTTCTCACAGTCCCTAACCATTCACACTTGCCCACTGACCTGGGTCCCCCAAGGGTCAGCCTCCACATCCTGTCGTTGGTAGTAGTAAGCAGCCCCTGCCACGTGTGCTGCTGTCTGTGCCAGAATCTTGGGGCGTCGGTTGGGGTGCATCTCATAGTCAGCGATAACTTGCATCTGCAGCTCTGGGAGGTTCTAGGATAGAGGACAAGATAGGGGCTCCTGTCAGCATGAGTGGAGTGACCTTGTGGGAAGCCCTAATTTTTTGTGTTAACATCTTGTCCTCAGAAGTCCCATTTGAAGGGGAGAACATGACCTTAACCTGGGGGAAGGAGGCTCCGGTATGAAGAAACTTACAATTCTGGAAAGCCCATGCTTGAAGGGAAACAAACAAGGTCTTACTCAGAAATCTTCATTGTGATGGGTGACCCAGAATACGTGTGAATATGTATGTATATATGTATGTTTGTGTGTGGTGGGGGGTATTTTTGTCCTTAAAAGACCCTAAAGACAGACTAATGGTTAGGGCAGGAGAGAGATGCCTAGAGATGCTAGGCTTATTCTTACTGAATTAAGAGGCCAAGGGAAGCCTGATCTGAGGCTCATATAAAGGTTGCCCATCAGTGTAGGGTGAGTGAGATTGATTTCAGTTCTGGGAGGCTGCCAGAGGAAGGTGGCTGAACCTCGGGTGAGAAAGCACAGCTGGGAGAGATGATCACTGAATTTCAAGGCTCGCTTTAGAATATCTTTCCATCTGGGAAGTGCCTCTCTGCCTTAGATCTAGATCATTCATTGAGCTTGGAGGAGCTGGAAGCAGTTACATGCTTGGAAAGTGGGACAGAATGGGAGCCTTGCTCACCTCTTTAACACGGCCCAGGTGGTAGGCCACACACTGGTCCACAGGGTCTGTCAGTGGTTGGAGATGGTAGCTCTGCAGGAAAGGCTTGAGGGCCCGGTCAAACATGGCAGGTGTGCTGAGTACCAGAAAAGCCAGAGTAGGTCCTGGTAGGGGCAGGTGGAAGGCTGGAGGCAGGAGTACATTGTACCATGCCACCTGGGGCAAAGAAAAAGTTCAGATCAGGCTGGGCACCCTGGCCTCTAGGTTAGGAGGGTCAACCTTGGCCTTAGCTAGGCCTATTCCTTAGCCTGGCATTCAAGGCCTCATATACCTTGCCCCAGCCTCCATCTTATTTACTGAATGAAAATTCATTGATATGTGTATATGGGAAACTCTGAATTTCACAGTGAGTTTACAAGAGTGAGGCAGAGACATCATGAACAACTAAGAACATAAACTGATAGTAGAGTGATTAGTGCAATGATTGGGCCAGATGAAGATCATCTGAAATTAGAAAAGGCTTTTGGAGAAGCTGAATCTTGAAGGCTGGGAAGGAAACTGACAGGCAAACATGAGGAGGCAGATCTGGTGTATAGTCTAAACAGGTCACAACATAAGCAAAGACGGGCAAGAAAATACTGGGCATATTAGGAGAACAGCAAATTGTCTAGTTTAGTGGAAATGTAAGGGTCTGGAGAGGAGAGGAGGAGAGAAGATGGAGAGTGTAGGAGTGAGATTATGACTGGCCTTGAACACCATTATACTTTGTTGTTGTTGTGTGCTGTAGAGTCAGCCTCGACTCACAGCGACCCCTCCTTGGGTTTCTGAGGCGAGGCAGTATCACTATGGAAGTAGATTGCCCAACCTTCCTTCCGAGGAGCGGCTGGTGGATTTGAACCACCAGCCTTCTGGTTAGCAGTCAAGTGCCTTAGGCACTATGCTACCAGAGCTCCTCCATTGTACTGGGGGTTGGGGGGGAACAAACAAAAACTTTCTGACATCGAGTTGATTCCGACTAATAGCATCTCTATAGGATAGAGTAGAACCACCCCATAGGGTTTCCAAGGCTGTAAATTTTTATGAAAGCAGACTGCCTCATCGTTCTCCCACAGAGTGGCTGGTGGGTTCAAACTGCCAACCTTTTTCTTAGCAGCCAAATACTTTAACCACTGTGTCACCAGGGCTCCTTCATACCAATTTAAGGTGGCTCTAATTTGGCAGCAATGACAAGCCATTGAAGACTTAAGGAATAAACTGACATCAGTTTTAAAAGATCAATCTGGCAGTAGTGTAGAGGATGGGTTGGAGGCAAGGTGATAGCAAGGAGGTTACTGCAATAATACAAATGAGAAAGGATGGTGGCCTAGGCTACAGTGGAGATGGTTGGGATGGAAGGAAATGGATTTGGGAGAGATTCAGAGGATGGGAGCCTGTAAGTCTTGATGGGGAGCTCTGGTAGCATAGTGCCTAAGGCACTTGACTGCTAACCAGGAGGCTGGTGGTTCAAACCCACCAGCCAATCCTCGGAAGGAAGGTTGGGCAATCTACTTCCGTAGTGATACTGCCTCAGAAACCCAAGGAGAGGTCACTATGTGTTGAGTCTGACTCTATGGCACATACAACAACAACAACAAAGTCCTGATGGCTGACTGCATGTGGGGATGGAGAAGTGAGATTGGAGCCTAGGATAGGTGGTAGGGCTGCTGTTGACTGTTCTGTGCACTAGCTCCCACAACCTACACCTATCTGGTCCTCCAAATAGGCATGTTTACTCTCCCCCATACCTGCTACCCACCACTATCGCCACACCTTTATTTAAGCTGTTCTGATATTTGGGATGCATAGAACCTTGCTCCTTTTCAATCCATCTTTTCAGCTATATAGTTCAATTCTATATTCCCTAGGAAGTCTCCTCTCTCAAATTAGACCCAACCTATCTCTGTTCCTCTACATCTTGTCCAGCATTTAGTGGACATGATGGGGAGTGGGCTGTTTCTTAAAACCAAACAAACAAAACCCACTGCCACTGAGTCAATTCCAACTCATAGCGACACTCACTGGACTTCCAAGGCTGTCAATCTTTAAGGAAGTAGGGTCCCTCATTTTCTTCCTGTGGAGCAGCTGGTGGGTTTGAACCACCTTCTGGTTAGCAGCTGTGGAAGTTGTGTGTCAACTTGGCTAGGCTAGGTCTTGAGTGGCTGGGCAGTTGGATGTAGTTATTCCCCATGATGAGACTGGTAGTTAACTCCATGGTGGTATCTACTACAGCAACTGAGTAGTTGCCTTATGCATGTGGTCTGCTTCCAGAATGCAAGAAGCTTTGAGAAAGACCTCTGAGCTTTTTGGCATGCTTGGACCTTGCATGTAGTTGAGTCTTCATTCAGCAGCCTGCCATGTTGTCAGCTGATTTGGGGACTGTTCCTGGACTTGAACCAGTGTTCTGCCATGCTGTCTGCTAATCTTGGGATTTTGCCATTTTACTTGTTGACCTTGAGTTTGTCAGCCTCAGCAGGCAGCAGCTGCCTGAGTTAAGAGATGCCTCCAGCTCCAGTGGGCTGGAAGCAAAAGGCAGAGCTGAAGTCCAGTGTTGAGGGGCCTTCACCCCACCCCTAGAGCTGGCTCTCTGAACTTGGACTTCTGGCCTCCTAAACTATAAGAGAAAAAATCCATTTGTTCAAGCCACCCACTTGTGGTATGTCTGTTACAGTGGCACTAGATGACCTAACAGCAGCCAAATTCCTTACCCACTATGCCACCAGAGCTCCTTGGGCCATTTCCCAGGCATCTAGTAAATAACTCAAGCTGAGTTTACTTAGTTCTGTGTCCAAGCATGCTGCTTCGTGCAGGGAACACTGATAAGGAGGACATGTTGTTGTTATGTGCCATCCAGTAGGACCCGACTCATAGCGACCCCTCACTGGGTTTCCGAGGTGGTATCACTATACCAGTAGATTGCCCAACCTTCCTCCCGAGGAATGGCTGGTGGGTTTGAACACCCAGCCTTCTAGTTAGAAGTCAAGTGCCTTAAGCACTATGCTACCAGAGCTCCTCAGGAGGATATGGGCATATGTAAGTAAGTGAGTGTGGGGGTGGTGATGAGACTTCTGTGCCAGGCGAATGCACAGAATTTCTTACCCAGCCCAGTGCTAGTAATTGGCAACATCATGAATTATCCTTCTGTTGATAGATGGAACAAATCAGCCCATTGTTTGCATGTTAATTCCTTCCCTCTTCAGCTGACCTAAATGCTAGCCATGAAATTTTTCTAGGGCCTGGTTTCCCCTAATTCCAGAAAGCTTCCAAGGTGATTCAGGCTCCACATGTCCCTTTCTTCTTATAAATTACGTAAATAAAAATCATGGCCCCACACCTTACTGGATCATATCGTGTCTCCCATTCATCAATTCTGTATTATACGAGCATAAAAGGGCAAATGTGCGACCGCTTCTCTACCTTTTTAACCCATGTCCCTATTGACACTCTGTCCCAGTCGGTCAGATGGACACCGGGCCAGAGGCTCTCGGGAAGGCTTCTGGGTCCTCACGGTGGTAGCACCGAGATCAATCACACTCCTCGCCCTAGCACCGCAGGAGGGATAAACCAACCTGGAAGGGATAAACCTCGAAGCCAAAAGGACACAGCGTGTCCTCAATCTTCTGCTTCAGCTCTGCGACTCTCGGCTCCATAGCGCACGCTACACGCTACATGCTAAGCTTGCTGGGAAATGGAGTCTCAAGGAGAAACCTGGCCGTTAGTTTCACGATAACTTGGACTCCATTTCCCAGGAACTACTGGACCCAGCAGAGGGCTAGCGTTGACTTTGAGCGATGTATCTTAGGATACGTAGTTTATTTGGTTCTAAGAGCCAAATGTTACACAATCAGGAAAACTCGGTTTCCCGGCAAGCTTCACGGTGGGGGGGGTGACTGTACTATTGCTTCCAGGGAAACGTAGTTTCACCGCCTCCATCGCCGATTGTCTCTGCGAGAGGAGAACTCAATTTCCCATGTGACACTACGATAGCCAGTACGGAGTTTGACTGTTGCGGCCTTCCGGAGGGTTTGAAACCCACGGCGGCAACAGTCTCTGGCACTAGTTCGGCTCTAGGCGTTAGTGTCCCGGATCTGTGGAGGTCTCAACCAGTATTCGTCGCCTTCAACTCCTACCTGACATGTTTATCAGGTATTCCACTTTTTCCCCAGATCGCTGCTGACTTGACTAGTTCCCAGAATCTCATTTCTGATCTGGTATTGCATCCATACACTTATTGTTGCTTCCTCACTTCTTTGTTTTGATTTGACGTTGTGGTCTTTACTGGGCCGTGCCTCGGTATCCTTGGCTGGGAGAGCAAGGGCACAAGATACCAGGAGCCGGCCCTCTGCCACAGGATATGAGTAGGAGCTTGAGCTGGTCTGAACAGCTGGATGCGCTTCTCAGTGCCACTGATGGAAACGTGGCCAGGATTAAGGTAAGGAGGTGCGTTGAAACTCCGCCTTGGGGGTCGGGTTAAGGGGCTCGCAGACTGTGCATCAATGGACTGTGCATCTTTTTCTTTTGTAGCAGCGGCTGTATCCCCTTGGGGTTTGTACAGCAGGTAAGTGTTGTCCCTTTTTCATCCCCGAGCCTTCTCTTTCCAGGATCTTCTTTCTTCCAAGTGCCTGTATCATTTACTACTCTTTCCAAATTCCAACTCTTTTCTTTTCCTGAATTCTGTTCCACCACAGGAACAGGCAGGCCCTGGACTTTTCCTTCCTTATTCTCTCAGCAGGGGACCTGGCTGGGTCATGGACTTCCCCTCTTTACTTGCCTCCTCAGTCTGGCCCCCTCTTTACTTGCCTCCTCAGTCTGGCGTCGGAGCTCAACAGCCCTGGACTCTAGAGACTTCACCCACTGTTCCAGAGGGACTGAGCTGGGCTGAGGCCCACAGTCCATCCTCTCTCTGGGATGAAGTTACTATTCTCCGATCCCAGCTTAGATCTCAGGCTCAGGTGAGGTGTGGGATCATAGTGGTGTGTGTGTGTGTGTGTGTGCGCGCGCGCGCATGTTTTTGTGTGAGGTAAGGATACTAGGGGTTTGGGAAGCCCCTTACCCAGTTGCTCATGTGGTTGTTCTGCCTGGGTAGGTGATTGAGGCACTAAGGCAGGCTGTGCAGGGCCTCCTGGAAGACCAAGAGCAGCAGAAATACCAGATCTATACCCTGGAAGGTATCTGGCTGGCCAGTTCTTTTACATACACAGTGTTATATGTATGCACACAATTTTGCTGCACACTTATTGAGTGTGCATGTGAGTTGATTTGCAGATAGGGTCTATGGGCTCATGTGTGAAGCTCTTAAGGGGCTGAGCTCCAATATGTCTTACTATAGCATCAGTAAGATTACTGCAGGGGGACCCAGAGAAAAGGGTCCTTCTCCTCGAGCAACGCCTGGAGGGACTCAGAAGGGAATTGCAGGGCCTACAGAGTCAGGTGCAGGAGCAGGCCCAGGCCCAGGCCCAGATGCAATCAGGACCAGGAAAGTACAGTACTACTGTTGGCCTTCACCACGAATTGCAGAATGAGTAAGTGATGGGTAAGACCCTACCTTCTTCAGGCTCTGAGTTTCTGATACTCTGGGAAGCTAGTGGCTTCTTCCCTTCAGGCTTGTTGGTTGACTCTAGAATGATACTGTTGTCACCCCTGTAGGCGGCAACTGTTGTGGGAGTAGTCAGAGGTTCTGCGGGAGGAATTGAAGTTGTTGCGGGACCAGTTGAGTAAGTAAAAGGTTGGGGGTTGTGTTCTCTTATTCTCCCTTTCTGGGAAGCTTTCTTGTCCTCCCAATAAATAGCCACAGCCCTGTTTGAGCTACTCAGAATCTGTCCAAGAACCTTACCTTGCTGTTTGCTTCTCATGGTGTGAATATACTTTTTCTAGTCAGCTTGGGAACAGCTAGACCAGAATGCTTCTGTCTGTTTCTAGCATGAGGGTGGGCACAAGACTGGGAGGGGGAAAGAAGGAGGTTGGGGAATAGCCCCTGTACATTCTCTCTCATCTGCAGGTCAGCACCAGGAGTTGCTGTTAAAGCAGATGACTGAAGGGTGGCAGGTTCAGGCCCGTGGCTGGAAGGTAGGATCAGGATTGAGTCTGTCTATTCATATCTCCTCTCAGGGGCCCTTCTTTCTCTGTCTGTTCTGCAGACATGCCAGGATACCCTCTCTCTCCCATCTTTTTCTCTCTCTTCCTTGTGCTGACTCCACCTCCCTCCAAAGCTTTTCTTCCCAATCCCTCTCCCCTCAGACCATGAGAAACTGTCCTTGCCTATGAAAGGGTTTCAAGTATGCTGAAGAGGCCAATCCTGGGAGGGGGTTTCCCCCCAGAGAGGTAGAGGTTTGGTCCTACCTGGGCCCATGGTCTAGCAGATGTTGGAGCAACTACAAAGTGGCCAGGAAGGCAAGGGTCACACCCTGGAGGCTGCCAGGATAGAGGCCCAGGATGCCCAATGGGAGTTCAGTCTCTTCAGGTCAGGCGATATGGGTGCTGTGGCAGTGGAGGGGATTTGTCCTACAGAGGCGGGGACTAGGGACCAAAATTCAGCTATCATCGATTTAGACTTCACTAGTAGTATGGACCTCTGGTGGCATAGCACTTAAGGCATGTGACTGCTAACCAGAAGGCTGGCAGTTCAAACCCACCAGCCAGTCCTTGGAAAGACAATGGGGCAATCTACTTCTGTAAAGATTTACCACCTTGGAAACTCAATGAGGGTTGCTATGAGTTGGAATCGATTGGATGGCAGTGGGTTTGGTTTGGTTTGGTAGGGGTAGTATTGGTATCCGGGTTCTGGCCTACAGAGACAATGTTGAGCACTCCTCACTTGATACAGACTGACTGAGGAATCTTTATACCTTTGGATGATAAAGGGGGAGGAAACTGGATTCCTGACCTCACGAAGGAAGGGCCTCATTGACCATCACTGCCTGTACCTCTGATTGTTTTCTCCCTTCCAGGACCTTCGTTCATGTCCTCCAATCTAAGCTGCCCCTGACTACCACCTTCGGCATGTCCCTTTCTTCATCTAGCTCTGAAGTCAGTCTTCTGGACAGTAACAGTAGCTGGGGACTTTTAAGGAAGCTAGGTGGGGCTAAGGGCTGGGACTCCAATTCTGGGGGAGGCTACACCTGAATGGTGCCTGTATGCCCACTGCCTAATTGTTTGGTACTGGATGCCATGGAGTCTCTTTTTCTTTATGGATTCATCAACCTCTGTGGCTAGTTATCCCAAGTCAGGTCTATATGTCTCTCACTATCAGATGGACCCAGGGCCTAGTTCTGTGCCTATCATAGTGCTTGCTAATGGTTTGTTCTCTCTTCTCTTTTCCCTCCCCTCAGATCTCCCAAGGAGCACCTTTTCTTACCTGGAGTCCAACAGCCTTCATCTCCAGGCCCAGAGCCTTGAGCAGGAGGACTTATCCCTTCAGGACCCCAAGATCCTCATGAGTGACCTGTAAGAACTTATAGGAGTAGTGGGATGAAGACTTCTTTACCCTTCAGTACCCATCCAGGGCCTTAAGGCCTAGTTTCTGGGCCACATGCCTCTCTCCTCTTGATCTAGCTGGTCTCTGCCCTCCCTACTGAGGCTTCTAACTACCTATCCCCCTTACTTACCAACTGCAGTAAAATGGTTTAATTCTCCCTGGTGTGTTTTCTGTGAATCATTGCACACATGGGATATACTCAGCTATAGCCTTTCTTTATCCTATTACTTGGTTGCTTCCTGTTACCTCTACCTTTAAAATCCATAGACATTAGATGTATCTTCTGAGTGAAAGCCAAACTCAGTTAAACTTGGAAGGAGATGGCAGCTTGCAGCCTGATCAGGAGAATGCTCTGGAACAGTAGTATTGTGAGGATATCCATAGTCTAGTGGGCCTGGGGCTGGACAGTAGGAGACTTCCCCTCATCTTCATTTTCTACCTCTTGAGGCTCACTTTACCTTCTTCATTCCTCCTTGTCTTCAGCAGTCCTACCTCATTTCCTACAGCAGCTTCTTCCCTGGTCTTTTCCTTCAGTCTCTCTACCTCTGATCTAGAGGCTCTCAGAGTTTGTTGACTGCAACCCCTCAGTAAGAAATATAGTTTACATTGTAACCTAGTAAATACAGATATGTATATTTATTAATGAAAACAAAAATGTTATGATTTAATACTTATTCATATTAGCTATGGTACACTCTGATACTTTTTATTCTATTTCATTAGAATACTATGTCATGACTAACAGTTCTCATCTTTCCATGACTTCATTGCTTTCTGGAGAATTTATCTTCCTGGGTAGACTCAAGATAGCTCGCCTTTCTCTTTGCCTGGGCTTTGTGTTCTAGATAGTGCAGTCCACGGTTTTCTAAGAAGCCACAGCATCTCACTGAGGCCTCATGAGACCATATCACTGCTAAATCTAGTCAAAAGATAATGCCATCCATCCACCAAGTGTTTGTCTATTGAATATTCCCTATATGTATTTGTCCTGCGTGAAGATGTACAGTGGGTTTATATAAAGGTCCCAAGTCTTAGGTTAGTCTAGCTAGGGAGAGGAGACAGTTATCTGAAATAAAAGCATGATAAACAGTTGAGGTGAGTAGGGCAGGAACACCTCTTGTCATGGAATACGTTAGTAGACAGGTCATAGAGAGGGAGACATAGAGCAATCCTCCTTTATGTTGAGATGTAATCCATAGTGAAGGCTGTAGTCTTTGTTCTTCATCAGTAAGTGCTTCAAGTCACCTTCACTCAGCAAGCAAGGTTGAATAATCTGCATACCATAGGTTAATGAGTCTTCCTTTAATCCTGATGCTGTGTTCATCATATCGTACAGCTTAACATAAAGAAAACAAAAATCCTCACAACTGGACCAATAAGCAACATCATAATAAATGGAGAAAAGATTGCAGTTGTCAAGGATTTAATTTTCCTTGGATCCACAATCAGTGCCCATGGAAGAAGCAACAGTGAAGAAATAAGTTGATGTATTATGCTGGGCAAATGTATTGCAAAAGACTTCTTTAAAGTATTAAGAAACAAAGATGTCATTTTGAAGACTAAGGTGCTCCTGACCCAAGCCATGGTATTTTCTTTTTTAAAAAATTTTTATTGTAATTTGGGTGAAAGTTTTCAGAGAAAATTAATTTTCCATACAGCAGTTCATACACATTTGTTTCATGACATTGACTGCAATTCCCTACAATGTAACAGCTCTCTTCCCACTTCCTCTCTGTAGTAACTTCTTTCCTGCCATGTACTTTCCCCACCCCACACCAGCTATCTCCCTGTGCAAACACTGCCCTTCTGTTCTCCCATGATTGATCTGATTGCTCCAAGAGGTGTATGTACCTGATGTAAATGTTTATCCCATATGCCCAAGCCATGGCATTTTCAATAGCCACATACGCATATGAAAGCTGGACAATGAATAAGGAAGAACAACAAAGAATTGATGAAATTGTATTAGTGAGAATACCTGAAAATACCAAGGACTGCCAGAAGAAAGAACAAATCCATCTTGGAAGAAGTTTAACTGGAATGCTCCTTAGAAGCGAGAACAGTGACTTTGTCTTATGTACACTGGTCACATTGTCAGAAGGGACATGTTACCCTGGAGAAGGATATCATGTACGGTAAAGTAGAGGGTCAGCAAAAAAGGGGAAGACCCTCAATGAGATGGATTGATACAGTGTCTGCAGTGGTGGGCTCAAGCATAGCAATACTTGTGAGGATAGTGCAGGATGGGGCAGTGTTTCGTTCTATTGTACACAGGGTCGCTATGAGTGGGAACCAAATTGACAGCACCTAACAACAGCATTAGTCCTTGGTTCTCTCCCCTCAGCACTGGGAAGCTGGTGAGAAGAATGGTAGAGATCAGACCTGGGTCAAACAGACCCTGTTTTTAAAAATGTAAAAACAATACCTTCCCATTTGCTGTGTAATCTTTCACTGAAAGCACACTAAAATATTTTAAAAACAAAAAAACCAAACCTTCCGATCAAGAGCCATTTTCCTGCTGAGGCAACTGCAAGGAACCCCTCTCTTTTACATTTTTCATTGGGCAGCTGATCATCTGGCCTGATGGCATCATTCATTTCTGTTTCCTACCAGTACTCATTTATCAACTACTTTGCATCAGACTCTGTGCCAACCAGGCTTGCAGGGGTGCCAGGGCTTTAACAACAAACATTGAATAGCAACGTGGAATAATGGTATATGAACTGTCAGCAGGTGGCAGCACATGATTCGTTGCTAGAAGAATAACATGAAAAGGTTTTGGACCAAGATGTCTGAGATGGGTTTTCTTTTGCCTCCCTTCCCTTTAGCATCCTGTGATCTACCAAATTGATTTTAAAACAGTGCCCTGTAGGTTACTATCCTTCTCAAGAACCTTGGATAGCTCTCAAAGCATTAACACATAAAATTGGCATTCAAGCTCAAGCCACATCCAGGCTCTTTTTGCAGCCTTATCTTCTACCACATAATTCTTAAACTTTACTGCCACCAGGAATGCACACCACCTACACTCCAATCAAATTATTCAAATTTCATCTTTGAAGACTTCTCCCACTCCTCTTCCACGAGGGAAGTTTAAAGATGTCTGAATGCAGGTGTCTACCCCCAGGAAGTGCTAGCACAAGAAGGCCCAACTGTTTTTGCTTGCTCTTGCTTTTGAGATTATGAGCTCCTGAAGTCTGTTGTTATTGTTATGTGCCAATAACGGACCCAACTCATAGAGACCCCTCCTTGGGTTTCCGAGGCAGGAGGCAGTATCACTACAGAAGTAGATTGCCCAACCTTCCTTCTGAGGAGTGGCTGGTGGGTTTGAACCGCCAGCCTCCTGGTTAGCAGTCAAGTGCCTTAGGCACTATGCTACCAGAGCTCCCTCCTGAGGTCTAGGCATAAGTAAAACATGAAATATGTGTATGTTGAACAATTAAATAGAATTCTTATCCCTGACCCAGTTCCGTTTACTTTTCCACCCAGCACTTAAAATCCTGTTTTCAATCCAGCATAAGTGTTACCTTCTCTAATACTTCACCTAATCAAATCTTTGTTGTTGCTGTTGTTATGCACTGTCGAGTCTGACCGACTCATAGACACCACCCCCCCTTGAGTTTCAGAGGCAGTAACACTATGGAAGTAGATTGCCCAACTTTCCTTTGAGGAGTGGCTAGTGGGTTTGAACTGCCATCCTTCTGTTAGCAGTCAAGTGCCTTAGGCACTACGCTACCAGAGCTTCCAATCAAGTCTTAGTCTAGATGAATTGCATTTTGTCTAATAATAAAATAAAATAATAATAAAAAAGTCACTAACATTTATTTATCAGTTTTGTCTCATAGCTACCCTTCCTTGGGTTTCAGAGGCACTATCACTACAGAAGTAGATTGCCCAATCTTCCCAGGAGTGGCTGGTGGGTTTGAACCACCAGCCTTCTGGTTAGCAGTCAAATGCCTTAGGCACTACGCCACCAGAACTCCTAATAAAATAAAATAATAATAAAAAACTCACTGACAATTATGTATCAGTTCAACCTGCCCGCATACGGAGAGCCTTCAGGACACAACATTCATACAGCTTTTTCTCAGTTATATTGCTGTTATATTTTCACAAACCCAAAAGCCGCGCCAGTTTAGTCCATTTTCAATTGGTTTTATCAGTTAGCTATCACTTTGTAGCTGGCATTTTCCTCGGTCCGTTTTCTGTTTACTGTCCCGCCCCTAGAGAGGTTCCCTCACTTGAGTTTCTCCAGGTGTATTCTCTCCTCCTTGGTTCCGCCTTTTCAGCACACTGCAGCTTCTGTTTTTACCTTCACTTCCTTCCTATTGGTTCCCTTCGGGCTCCAGAGGTGGCGCCTAAGGCTGTTGATTGGCTTTTCTGGGCGCCCATTGTGCCCCCCTTCAAACCACGTGGCATTCCTAACGCTAATTGGGTAATTCCACTAGTTCATTTATAAAGGATTGACAATTGATTGGCTGTTCTGGGGGAGGGCCCGAAGAGAGGGGCGTGGCCACTCGAGCCCCCGCCCCTAGCTCTCCTGCCCCTCTGGGCAGTCGTTTCAGTAGTTTGCGGCCCGGGAGCCCCGCGGAGCTTTCAGTTACCTCCCTGGCTCTCCGGCGGGATCAGCCTCCTGGCCCCGCCAAACACGGGCGGGGAGCGGCCCCGACTGCGGGGCCATGGCAGTAGCCTTCTCGTCTTCCGCCGCCACTAGCCCCACGGAGTCGCCGGCTTCTGCGCGAGGGACCCCCACTGCCTCTGCAGGCTGAAGAGCCGCTGCCGCCACGGTGCTGTGAGGGCTACTATGGTCTCTTTTTGCCGCGACCTCCCCCTCCCGCTCGCGCAGGGACCCCTCTGGCTGCCCTGTCCCGCTTCAGGTAACGCCAGGAGAGCGCGTGGGGTACACACCCGGGGCACCCTGGCCAGCGCGCGGACCACTGGCTTCGGCCGCACCGAGCGTTGCCGTTTGGGTTTTTTAGCAGACAGGACACCCTTCGCTTCTCAGAGTTCCTCCCCTCAGCGGCTGGGGACACACCTCTCCTCGGCCCCCTTCCTCTTCCCTTGCAGCTTCCCTCAGGTTCACGGGACAGGCACCCCACTTTCTCCAGTCAAAGGCCAGGAACCCATTAGAAGTTCTCTCGTAGCTGAGACCTGGTGCATGATTCCTCTCAGGAATTTCCCTCACTTCAGAGACTCAGGAATCCTTCAGTTCCTCGGAAAACTGTTTTGGAGACTGCCTCTTCTCAGTACCTCTTCCTCTCTCAGAGTTCAGGACTCCCTCACTTTACTTCCCTCAAACACACTCTTCCCCAAAACACATCCACTCCACCCTCGAAAGATACTTCCCTCACCTCAGACAATACTGTCTCCCTCTTCTCTTTTCTCCTGTCTTTCCCTCTTCTCCCCTCCCCTCCTTTTCCCTCTTCAATTTTTTATTCTTCACGTTTAAGACTCTACCTAAGCCAGTATTCAGACTTAACTAGAATGGAAGCCCAGGTTTATCTAATTTAAAAGCATTTCAATTTATAATCCTAAGAAGAACCTTGCTAAAGAATTCAGGCTTTATTTTGTTGGCATAGAATGCCATTGAAGGTTTTGTGAGGAGGGGTTTGGATTACTTGGGGTGGAAGTAGAGGAAGAATTGAAAGAGAAGATAGAAAGTGAAGAGTGGAGGCAGGAAGCCTACACAGGAAACTAATGTGCTAATTTAGGTGAGAAGATGAATTTAGGATTGTTGTTGTTATTTAGGATAGTGACAGGAAAATGACAAAAAGTGTGTACAATTTCAAGAGGTTTGAAAAACAGTTGAGAGGATTAATGAGAGATTTCTTACATGGTTGATGGGATAGAGTGGTAGCGATAATTGAAACAGGGAACATAGAGAAGCAGTTTTTGGGGAAGGTAATGAAGTTAGAAGGCACCCCTCTGCATGGCACAAATGGTTAAGCACTAGACTACTAAATGAAAGCTTGCTGCAACCCAGAGGCACTTTGGAAGTAAGGCCTGGTGATCTGCTTCTGAAGGGTCATAGCCTTGAAGAGTCAGAATTGAGTCAATGGCAACTAACAAGAGCAATGTATATGCTTATGGACAAGCTGATATCAGATATCAGTGTGGGTAGCTGAAAATTTGGGCTTGAAAATTGGAAGAAAAATTGGAACTGAATGCATACATTTGGGTAATAATTTGAAGCTTTGATATGGCAATACTGAAAGAAGAGAAGAAACAAATTATGGACCAGAAGAAGCATCATTGAAGAGTATTAGATACCGCGAAAGACAGGATAAAGGACTAGAACAGAATGGCATTATGACAGAAGCCAAATGAAGAAAGGGTTTCAAGAAAGAAGGGGATGCACCTTAGTGTCAGGTGCTCCAAAGGTCAAGTAGAATGAAGATTGGGATGAAGGCACTAAATTTAGTAATTAGGAGGTCACTTTGTGGCTTAAAAGCAGTTTTGAGTTTGGTGTCGGCAGTGATGGCACTAGTTAGATTATGATGGATTGAATAAATAGAAAGCAGAGGGAGAAATTACAAGTGAAATTCACAAGTGGTTGTGAAGGAGAGCTGGCAGTAGTGAAACTAATCTTTATTAAGAATAAGGTATTCCAAATGCCACATACAATAAAGATGCTGTTTTACATATAGATCACAACAGCTTTGTGGCTTAGGTATCAGTATCTCTCTCTTGCAGTTGGAAGGCTCTAGGCAAGGATTTGAACAAGGTCTGCCTCCAGAATCTGTGTTCTTTCCACTTTGGCACGTGTGTTTTTCTTTTTAGTATAAGTGAAAATTAATCTTGTAGGTTGAGGAGAAGGTTTGTTGTTGTTGTTGTTGTTAAGTGCTGTCGAGTCGTTTCCGACTCATAGTGACCCCATGCACAGCA